ACGATAGCTTGTTATTATGTGGTCTATTTGTGTCCAGCGTTGGTTTGATGATGGGGGTCGCCAGGTCAAACAGTGTCTCTCCTTGTGTTTGAAGTTAGTGCTTACGAGAAACAAATGATTATCTGAACAGAACTGTAGGAGATGGTCACCGTTGTCGGTTCGCTGGCACGGAACTCCATAGGTGCCACCGATATCCTTCTCAGATTGACACAATTTCCCTACTTGATCATTAAAGTCACCAGCTAGAACGACTATATCTGAGCGTTTAGCCTTTCGCAGCAAACTAGACAGTTTCTGGTAGAACTCATCCTTCGTTTCATCCGAACTGCAGTCAGTTGGGGCGTAGGCGGAGATTACGAAAAAGCATCGGCGAGTAGTGCAGTCCTTTCTCCTTTTTACTGATCCGTTCAGACGGACAGCACACATTCGGCTATCTACCGGGATCCAGTCAAGTAATGTCTTTTCTGCCCTAGTACTCAAAGCTATCCCTACACCAGCTAATCCTCGTGAACTAGCTGTGGCATCTCCTGACACCCTCAAAGTGAATTTTGCTGATTCATCCTGTTGGCCAGGTGGGGTTAGGTGAATAACCACACTTGGGTCTTGTATGTATGTTTCTGAAACACAACATGCATCAATGGCTCGAGACGCCAGAGTCTTGGATAGTGATGCTTGTTGTCCTATTTGGTAAAGTGTCCTAACATTAAATGCTCCCATATGAAATAGGCGGCGTGGCTTTAGGAGACTATCGGTGGTGGCTTTTTGGCTTCCGTCGTTTTTAGTGGACACAGAGTGAAGAGGAAGTGAAGAGTTATCAAGTAGAGTAGTTGCATCAGTGGAAGGAAGGCAAGATGATAGAGATGAATATGAAGACAAAGATGAGTGTGGATTAGAGGGGTTTCGTGTGCATTTCGGATTGTGAGGGCGATTGTTACTTCCCGGCTGCCCACACCGTGGAAGTTGGTTGCGTGACTGTAGAGCTCAGGGGACAACTGCTTGAGGCCGGTAACACGCGGCCTGTTTTTGTTTGTTCTTTATTGTTTGGTGTGTCTCAGTAGCATATTTATCACTTCTGTCCTGTGACACGGCAGCAGGAAGCGCGGTCGTTGTTAATCCGGGCTACGGCCGATCCGACATGATATTTTGTGGTTTTGTATGTATCATAATGTTGGATTGGGTAGCTGCTTTTTGTTTTAACCGCTATCCAAACAACCTTTCTGGCATGGTAGGACCTCAGGTGACATAAGTCTCAGCCAGTATAGCTTGATTAGGTCATTGCGGTGTTCAAGCCCGACCACCACGTCAAGGTAGCAGGTTTCGGTAGGGCCTTACAAGCATCACCCCGTTCAGACTCAGATATTGATTCTTTAATCTTGGTAGTTTCAGTAGGAGGTTCGTCTTGATTCGTGGACCATCTAGCAGCCTGTTCATGAAGTTTCCGAAACGGACATATGTACTTTGATACCTCTTAGTTGCAGAAGAATATTCCACTTGTTTTCACCTTGCACATGGACAGTGTACAGTTCATATTTAATTACTAATAATTTTTGGCATCAACAGTGGTATTTGTCATACAGTTAGTTCTTTTCAACGATAATGTCGGGCGTGTGGATCCAGAAATTAGGTTAGTCAGCTATATTTCGGGTCACATGAATTGTATTCCGCAGCCGTGTACACAAGAAACCTATGTCTAGCCATCACCCTATCTTGATTTTTCCATAATTATGGTTTCACGTAGCATTCTTCTGGAGCTCGGATAGTGCTACACTATACTGCTAACGGCATGAGTACATGAAAAGCTACCTTATTCCGTGTACTTTCGCTGACCACCTTTTTTCTGCGTTATTTTTGCTTCCTAGCTATCGTAGTCAATGTCTCAACAAGTTAAGGTAAATAGGTTTTTGTACGTAATAGCGTAACTCACTGTTAAACCAAGCCTATTACGAGATTGTCTACTAATTTTTCGGGCCGTGTAGACACATTCATTGCATGTCCTAGGTTCCACAAAAGTGGCATATAAAGCAGCTGCTAGGTTTGTGACGATGGTAAACATTTGAATTTCCAAGTTCCTTACAAGTTACTGGTGCTTCTCAGCGAACAATGAGTATAGTAATGTACTTATACTCATATTATAAAATATTACACAACCTTAGCACATAACTTGACACTTACTGGTATATTTTTATTGTTTCTCCGCAATAACTCCAATCCATCCTAACTTATAAGATGGCTGCTCAAAGTAAAACATTCAAGACTACAGGTTGCTGACACTAGGTACTTGCGTCCCATTGCTTATTTAATTTTCTTTGTCTCAGCTGTTTTTGTTGGGGTCACATGGTAATGTTAAGATCAGACAGAGTTAGTCAACAGGGGAACTGTGCATATGCAGTCGTTTAAATCGACGCAGACATATTCATTTCTCAGTGTTTAGTTTATGGAGATCACTAGTCTTCTTGAATTTCTTGTTTCTTCTAAAGATATTTCTTCGCTGTAGTATGATTAAATTTGTGTGTTTTGTAACAAATTGAACTAATGAACATTTGCAGGATTTTGTGTTGATTCGTCTGTCACTTAGAGCATGTATGTAACTATGATTCATTCACTCGGTGATTCGATTGACCACTGAACAGACTACAGGTTTAAACCGATCCAATCACCAAAGTTTAAGCATCCAGATACTATACTGTCTGTCTGGATTCAACATAGAACTTGGCACCGAAGTGCACCAGTTCGAGTTTCCACGTTCCAAATAGCACACAGAGGTAGACAAGAAGATGAGTGAAGTCTGTCTGTCTGTCTGTTTTCGACATAGAACTTTGCAAAAATGTGCGGAAGTTCAAGTCGCCACATTCCGTGTAGCACGCGAAGCAAGAGAAGAAAGTACAAGAAAAGCATAATAGAAACAGTGAGCAGAGGTGTGAGACAAAGGAGTAATAAGGAAATACAAAACAGTTTTATTGAAGATCATAAGTCACAGGGAGTGGATGCATCTGCGCCACTGAGAACGGTTTTGAGCCATGTCACCAATTGTTTCCAACCATAGATTTTTACCGTCCCGAGGACCCCAGCCTGGAAGTCCACACCTTTCTACGTGGCTTAGACCAACTGTTGTGGATTTCATCGACTGATGCCAAGTTTTTGTTTGGCCGCCGCTAGGTTTTTTCCAGCCTGACCCTATATCCGCTAACATTTCTCGTCGAGGGAGGCGATGGCTTGGCATACGTAACACATGTCCTAACCATCTCAGTCGATGTAGCTTCACGACTTCGTCGATTGATTTCCCCTGTTTACCTAGAACTCTACGCCTAACCTCCATGTTGCTCACCTTATTATGCCACTTTACACGGGAAATAGAACGCAGGCACCTATGATCAAAGACAGCTAGTCTTTTCATGTCTTCCACTCTCAGTGGCCAGGTCTCACAACCATAAAGGAGGACGGAGCGGACTGATGAGCAGTACACCCGCCCTTTGGTCGATAGTCGAACATCTCGTCTACGCCAGAGTCGGCGTAAACTAACAAATGCGAAACGAGCCTCTTGTTTTCGTGCTGAGATTTCGTCAGAGATCAGCCCGTTGGGGCTGATGGTACTTCCCAAATAAGTGAAGCGGTCAACGTGGTCTACAACTTCACTTCCTATTTTTAAACTAGGCGTCGATGTAGTCCAGTCCTGTAACATCATCTTGCATTTGGCGGGAGCGAATCGCATGCCAAACATTCGTAGATTGCGGCTCAAGGTGTTTAGAAGACTCTGCATTTTGTCAGTGTCTTCGCCTAGAAGGACTATATCGTCTGCATATTCCAAGTCAACGAGATTATCCCCTCCCTGGTAGCAAGTCAATCCCTGAGTCGCTGAAGTCACCTAGGGTTAAGTCCATTAACACATCTATGATGAAGTTGAATAGAAAAGGAGATAATGGGCATCCTTGACGGACACCACTGGTCGTCATCAGTTCAGATGACAGCTCGCCGTAAGCCCTCACCTGGCTGTATGAGTACGAGTAGAGTGCCTTAATCAGTGCAATATATTTTCTTGGAATTCCCTTTACAGCCAAGCATCTCCAGAGAACTTCCCGATCGACAGAGTCGAATGCTGCCTTTAGGTCAAGAAATATAATGATTGTTGGACACCGGTAGGAATGACTGTGTTCTAGAATCTGTCGGATGGTGAAGATATGATCACTACACCCTCTTCCTGGTCTGAAGCCTGCCTGGCTCTCTCGTGTTTGTGCTTCCCGAGCACCACTCAGTCTACGCATGATTATTGAGCCTAAGACTTTAGATACTATATTAGTCAAGCTAGTCCCTCTGTGATTATCACAGGAAGACTTGTCTCCCTTCTTGTATATGGGGATAATCAGTGACTTACACCAACCCGATGGGACTTCTTCTAATTCCCAGACGCTGCCTATTACCTCAGTTAATCCGGACAGTAAGCTGAGTGAAGAGAATCAATAGAGTTTGACAAGTATAAGAGTGAAACAGAATGGGTAATGGTAGAAAGAAATATGAAAGACTACAGAGACTGAATACATCTGCGCCACTGACAACGATTTTGAGCCATGTCACAAACGAAATATGGTTCATAATCTGGTAGGTAGAGTGCACATAACCCCTTGTTTGATTATTCGCTTCTATTTGATGGTCTTACTTGCATTCGACTTTTGATCAACTGCTCTCAGCTTCGAATTTTGCCACACTCCTTGTGATCCGGACAGTTAAGTAGTTTCATCAGCTCTGACACAGTAACTGTAACTTGACCTATTACATAAAAATATCTGTCAGGGTTCCATCATTATTACGTTGTTGACGATCGTAGGTTATTTCTAAACGAGAGTATTTCTTTTCTTTCCACCTTGATTGACTTATACTGAATGTTAGAAATTTACCGCTCAGTTCAATACTTTGTAATTTATACATTGCTTGTTGAACGAGTTTTCATGATAAGTGTTCTTAACATACCTTCAAACTATTAAAAAACCGTTACTTTCTTCTTGCAGGTGTTGATCCGAAACGTCCAATTGAACAAGTGTCTTTCAAAGGTGAAAATATTTCAGTGAGCTCATCTCTGACAGAATTAAGTGACCACTTTTCCCATATCGCGTATGCTAATGCCAGTGCTGTAGTAGCAGCCGCTCGGTCAAAGGCTGCGGCTGCCTCAGGGGTTCGTAACACATCACCTCGTGGCAAGAGCTGTGATATATCTTCAGATAAAATTTCAAGGAATATCTTTTCTAGAACTCGACATTCAAGGAGTGCTCCAAACAAGGATGTGGGTCGGCGGTCATCAGATTCCTATCACAAGCGACCGTGGCCAGCAGAACAACAAACAAAGGTGCAAACAGATTCAATAAACTCAAGTGCTTCAGAAGTGAAACCGGGTTGGCGCTTAAGTTCTCTATGGCCTCGACGCAGTTTTACTATTTCCTGGCGTCGCAGATCACCTCTTTGTTTCGACGCTTCTGGTGGAAAGTGTGGAATGTGAGAATTTCCAAATAAACATGTGTTGATGAAAATTATTTTACACAGGACTGATAGATTGGCCACCTCTCCACCAGAACTCATTGTAGAAACTAATTTACACACTTGCTGCTAGCATTGTTCTTTAATTTATTTGTAGCCTTTTACCACGTCAATTGAAGCTTTGGGTCAATATCTGTCACTAAAATTGATATTTGGCGTTGATATACCATTTTCGTGAAATCTGTTTTCTAAAGTACTTATTTGTGTCAGAATTACACTTCCAAACGAACGGTCCATTGGTTTTCATTTGTCATTTCCTCTGTTCGTTTTTAATCGGTGTTTTTACAGACGCAATTAGAGACGTTTTTATCCCTGTTCATTAAATTCATATCCAGATTAACTTATCTCAGTTGCTTTTGATAACCACCTGATGTACGGATTGTCTATAGTTTAAGTATAGTTGTGACCCATTATATATATACTGACATTCAAAACTGTAATGTAGTGAGATATTCAGCTTACCATGGTTGTATGATTAGTATGTGGGGATCATTTCAAAAATCTTATTTCATGTATAAGCTACCACTTATTTATTCTTGAAAACTTTTCAGGTAGTCACTTTTAACATAACTAGGTAGAGTTAGTTATCATTGATGTTGCCAGTTTGAAATATGTGGTACTAACAATCACTCACCATTGACTGTCATATGACTTAGTGAAACTAAATAACAGACCTCAAGGATGTGGTACATTTTTAAAATTTTATATCGACATTAACTAATACAAGTCGTTAGTATCTATCTATTGAAATACTTAAGATATTGCTCCAATGGATGCGGTCATCTATGATCCAGAGGAATAGCTTTGGTTAAGGAGTTATTTACTTAACGTGTGGAGTTTTGTGGAACACAAAATAATTACAAATTTTACTGTCTTTCAACGTCACCCAAAATGGAAACTGCTTATTATTATAAACTTTATGGCGAGAAATTGAAGGATTTCTCGGTACTGGTTGGACTGCCTCTTTTGGTATCTGATATAATGTGGTGTCATTTCAAATCAACGTAGCCGACTCAGACGCATTCATATTGAATTAGATCGTGGTCATCTTATTGTTAATTAATTTTTTTCCCTCTTCCAAGTCCTGCTAGTTATTTTCAATACCTCATCCTCCTTATTTCCACTCTCCGTGTCTTTAGCCAACTCAAACAATTAAACTAATGTCCAAAACTCTTCATTCAACGAGAGATATCAAAGATAAAATTAGGAAGACTAGTAATGCAAATTATATAACTAGATATTCGTAATTTCCTCCATTTATTCAGTAGTACTTGCTTAAATTTGATATTTTGTGAATTTTTCTTGCAGATTTATGTGTAATTTCTTCGTTAGCCATTTTTGGTCAATGTCTAAAGTTTTTGTTTATTTGCATTGTGAATTAAAAATGTATTAGTGTGTATCCTCGTGCTCCTGGTACTGCTGTCAGCATAAGTGCTGAATTAGTACGTGAAGGCAATGTAATGCAATGGCTGGGTCCACATTTCGAACCACATCGCCCGCGCATCGAATGCGAAAAAAGTAATCCTGATGCTGGATTAGAAAGCAAAAGTACACAATGGGCTCAATCTCGTCTTTGTTTGTACAGTACAAGCGCAGGTCTTATTCTAGAGATATTTAATCCCCCTGATGTAAGTAGGATTTCAGTGATCATATTAGTAATTTGTTTTATTATTGAAAAGATGTTTGATATTAAATCTTTAGTAATAAATAATCGAAATGCCCTGGAATTAAGTTATCTGGCAACTAGCGCTTATCAGAATTATCTTTATACATTTTAAAGACACTATTCCTTTCAAATAGTGTTACGGAAAGAAACCTACTTGTAGTATATAATAATGTAGTTGACTTTTTGAAATAAATTAACTACGATTGGTTTAACTGTTATAGTATTTTCCTCTACCTTACTTGTGTTTTTGGTTGGTATGGTGAGCCTGTAGGTAATAGAACTCGTAATGATTTGTTGTTTTACTTTCGTCCAACTAATATAAGTTCACCATATACGACTTTGACCTCTGTTTGGGTTTCATCCGTCAACCTTATTTTGCATTGTGCGAAGTCATGGTTTTGTCTTTTGTACTTTTGTTGTACTATGTACTATGTTGTGAAATCTAACTAGAATTGACAACTGCTGCATCACTATTGAGTTCGGTCTTGCATATTGCTAAATGAACTTTGCAATGTAAAGCTATTTCTCGTAGGATCATGCCATGTCGGTTAAGTAACGGCAAAACTAAAAGTATTCACAGTCATCTTGTAAATAGCTCACATCATAAATTTGAGTCTGAGGGTGAAATAGTACAAATCTGAGATAGTCCTCATTAACTGGTGTAGGCGTTTGAGCTCATCAAGCTTTAAAAGCAAAGCATTCCGATTCACTTATATAGTGTTTAAGACCCTGGACAACGTTCAGTTCTGGTCATGTTTCCTTATGTGAAGATGAAAATTCGTTCCACATCTGAAAAGGCATGACAGTGTCGCTCGGTAAACGTGGGATTGGCCAATAGTCACACTAAATATATGCCTGGACGTAAAATAACTGAAAGCCTGCTGATAGGCATAACAAAAAACAGTTAAGTACGAAATTTGTTCAGAAAGCAGTTAATCATGAGCAATATCAACAATAATATCTTATCGTAGTTTCTTTACAACCGCTTTACAACTAACATGGTTAACAATAATAAAATATAGTGCATGACAATTACTCAGTTATATAAAACAAAAGTACGTACTACTAATGACCAATCATATTTATATAGGTCATGTAGTCCATAATAGGCGAAGATTGAAGTCTATTGCTTTTTGTACACTCAGTTTAGGCTGTATGTGATTCATCCAAAGTGCTTCCATCACCTTCAATAACCTTGAATTAGAGTTATGTGAAATAATCTTGAAACATTCATTAAAATTGATTTTGTGACCTGACATTAAAAAGTGTTTTGCAATGGATGATGCTAGACTTCTATTCAGATTAATCACATTGGGATTTTCTATATGATTTAGTAGCCATTTTAGAACATGTTCTTTTCAACGACATTGGAACATTTTTTTGGTTTTACCTTTATAGGTGTCACCGCAGCTGCAGGTGAACTTGTAGATACAGTTTGAATTAGAGTCCACAGAATTTCGTTCTTTTATCGTAGGTACAGGGATCGAAAATGTTCAGCAAGTGAGGAAAAGAGATGCGGCGTAGAATGTACGTTTGATGGCTGACCGAAGTCTTTAGCTGTCAACTGCATAATCTGGTCACCCTTGAATAATAAAGATAGCTTTCTTTGGTACACAAGCTATCTTTTCGAGATGTGGTCTTTCTTTACTGTGACAAGTGATAAAGTTTTCCGGATAACCTTTAGCTAATAAAGCTGAATGTATATGTCGAAACTCTTCCATCAATGTGTCACTCGTGCATATTTTTCGGGCCCTTGAGAACAAACATTTCACTAGGGAACGTTTATACTGGATAGAAACAAAACTGGTAAAATGAAGATATTGTCCACTCTGTCTGTTTACGAAAAATAGGTCGCTGAATCGTTGGGAGTCCTGGACAGCTGTTTCGTCCTAGTTTGGGACTCTTAACCAGTAATCACCCATTGGGGTTCGCAAATTCAGGACCATCTAGTTATAAGGTGAGCTCGTAGACCATCAAGCCACTGGGATCCTATCCAATTGCCTAGGAGTTCCAACTTCTGCCTATTCACGACATAGTGCGACCGTTAGCCAATGTCTTCATCCTACAAACCAATACTTGTAAATATTATTAACCTCGCCAGATACTAGCTTGCTAGGCTTACTAGTTTTCTCGCCGGTCCCAAGCCCGGGTAAAAAGGGAGGGTCGGTGCGTGGTGCTAGCAACTCCACCCCTGTAAAACAACCAAATCGCTCCAGAAACTTCAACGAATAAATATATTAAGAATTCTAAAAACATAAGCAATAGCCTTACTTTTCGCTGGAATCGGGGGAGTGAAATGACGCAGGCTGGTGAAAGCCTTCGGGAAGCCAGTCAGCCGATGTGCCTTCTTTCGATGAAAGCAAAAGTAAGGATGGGTACCTGGAATGTTCGCACAATGTACGAAACTGGAAAGGCTGCCCAGATAGCCGCTGAAATGAGAAGGTACAGAATAGAAGTGTTGGGAATCTGCGAAAGCAGATGGAACGGAACTGGAAGGTGCCAACTACCTACTGGAGAGACAGTAATCTTTTCCGGCCACCCAGAGGACAACCATGAGCACACCGAGGGAGTGGCCATCATGATGTCACCAACAGCAGCCAAAGCTCTCATGCAGTGGGAACCAATCTCCTCCAGGATAATGACAGCCAGGTTCAACTCAAAAGGAAGGAAAGTTACAGTCATTCAATGCTATGCGCCTACAAACGTCTCAGAACAAGAGAAGAAGGAGGCGTTCTACAGACAACTACAAGCAATAATGGACAACGTCCCAAATGGCGATATCAAAATCCTGATGGGCGACATGAATGCGAAGCTGGGAGGAGACAACACAGGAAGAGAACTCACCATGGGTCGTGAGGCCCTCGGCGAAATGAACGACAATGGTGAACTCTTCTCAGACTTCTGCGCCTTCAATGATTTGGTGATTGGTGGTAGTGTGTTCAAACACAAGGATATACACAAGACGACATGGATTTCACCAGATGGAAACACCAAGAATCAAATAGACTTCATCTCAATTTCAAGAAAGTGGAGACGGAGCCTACTGGACACAAGGTCAAAGAGAGGAGCAGATGTGGGTTCAGACCACTATCTAGTAGAAGGGACTTTCAAGGTGAAACTAAAAGCCTCGAGGATAGCTGGGGATAGGCCACAATGCAAGTTCAACACTCAATTACTGAAGGACACAACCACAAAAGACACTTTCACTGCAACTGTCAGAGCAAAGCAGGAAACACTACGCGACATCACTGAAGAATCATGCGTGGAAGAACATTGGAAGTCTCTGAAGGCGATTCTCAACGAAACGTGTTCAACGGTTCTAGGAAGAAAGAAGAGACAAGACAAGGAATGGCTCTCAACGGACACTTGGAAATTAATAGAAGAGAGGAGAATGGTGAAAGAGAAAATGATTCAATGCAAGGACGGACAGGAGAAGGAGACGATGAGCTCAACTTACAAAGCACTGGACAAAGAAGTGAAGAAGAGTGCTAGGAAGGACAAAAGACGATTCTACGACAACCTGGCCACTGAAGCTGAGAAGGCAGCAGGCAAAAGGGACCTGAGGACACTATATCAGATAACCAAATCTCTATCCGGGAAGAGATCAACACAAGCGAAACCTATAAAAGACAGCCAAGGGAACCCAATTACCAAGGAAGAAAAACAGATTAAACAATGGGCGGATCACTTCAAAGGACTCTTGAACCGACCATCACCTGCAACCCGTCCAGAAATACCAACAACAGCGCGCACACAACTGCAAGTTGACACCAATCCTCCAACGAAAGCTGAAGTCTTGAATGCAATCAAACTTCTGAAAGCTGGAAAAACAGCCGGACCAGATGGAATACCCCCTGAAGCACTGAAAGCAGACCCAGAGACGACAGCAGACATGCTGACTCCATTATTGCAAAAGGTCTGGAAGGAGGGAAAGGTGCCTACTGACTGGAGGAAAGGTTACCTCGTGAAACTACCAAAGAAGGGCGACTTACGCCTCACTCTGCAAGAACTGGCGAGGAATCATGCTCCTATCGACGCCAAGTAAAATCCTGAGTCGCATCATCCTGGAGAGATTAAAGGACGCACTGGAGACAGAACTCCGACCAGAACAAGCTGGATTCAGGAAAGGCAAATCATGTACTGACCAAATTGCAACTCTACGCATCATCATCACAGAACAAAGCATGGAATGGCAATCAAACCTCTACCTCAACTTTATAGACTTTGAGAAGGCCTTCGACAGCGTTGACCGTGAAGTAATTTGGAAATTACTCGAGTACTATGGCGTACCCCAAATATTCATCAACCTTATTCAACAGCTGTACGACAACGGCACCTGCCAAGTGATCCACAACGAAAGACTCAGCGAGGCGTTTGGAGTAAACACAGGAGTCAGACAAGGGTGATATTCCTAATTGTGGTGGACTGGATTATGCGTCAGACATTGGGAAACGAGAAGACAGGAATATCCTGGACCGACGTGAAGAACCTAGAAGACCTGGATTTCGCGCGTGGATGATTTATGTTTGATGTCACACACAATCGAAGACTTACAAGCGAAAACCGACAAACTGGTCGAAGAAGCAGCAAAGACAGGACTCCAGGTAAACATAGACAAGACGGAGGTTATGAAAATAACCAACCAACAACATCCAACGTCAATCACCATCAACGGGAGGGATTTGAAAGAGGTTACTTCATTCAACTTATCTAGGGAGCATTGTCTCAACTACAGGAGGAGCGGACGAGGATGTCAAATCGAGCGAGAATCGGAAAGGCGAGAAACACATTCATCAACCTGAAATCAATCTGGAAATCTTCGTCACTCAGCATCACCAACAAAATTCGGATTTTCAATACAAACGTAAAGTCAGTTCTTCTATACGGATCAGAAACTCGGCGGGTTGCAGACCTTTATTAACAACTGTCTTCGCTCTATACTGAAGATCAGATGGCCGGAAAGAATCACCAACAAGGAATTATGGGAACAAACAAAGCAAGAACCAATCGCCCGACAAATATGCAGGAGAAAGTGGAGATGGATTGGACACTCGCTGAGGAGACAGCTGGGTGACATCGCGCGTCAAGCCCTCGAGTGGAACCCGGAAGGGAATCAGTGAGTGTTACGTCAGTGCAAGGGTGATATGGAGGAGATCGTGTGAAGAGGAGTTGAAACAGTATGAACTGACATGGATAGAGGTGAAAAGTACAGCAGAAGACAGAAGCAAGTGGAGACGTGCAGTTGAAGCCCTATGTTCCACTTGGAACCCAAGGGAGCAATAATAATTATTATTATTTATTATTGCTCTTATATATATATATATATATATATATATATATTCCCTTACATTTATCTGTTATACTTTAGGCTGAACAATCTCGTTATGGATTGTGCTGCAATCTTATTTTGGACGTTCGCTTGGTTTGTCCTGACGAGCTTACAGATCCCCGAAACAATGTTTTACTCGTCAAAGCAAGTTTATTTGTTTAAATGTAACTCTCTTCGTAGATGTATTTTTGTGTGTTTGCTCTTCATTACCATCTAAGCACTGTGATTATAAGCATACTGTCTGTCTTGGTTTAAATGCTTAGGAATTAATCATCGCTCCGCAAAACATTCTGTTAAAACATGGAAATTATAGATGTTTTGCACGACATGATTTATTTCATTGAGAAAATATCTCTATATCAGATTGATGCAGTATTAGAGTTTTTATGTGCAGGGATTTGGTTGATTTCAAGACTTGATCACGAAACCAACCAAATCCTTGCAAAGAAACACTTGATAATTTGTTTTGTGCTCACAGGCGACTGACTACAGGATGAAGTTCCCTGAAGTTCTTGTGGGAAGTTGTGACTAGCGGGGTTCACCAAGTTGGGTGTAAGGACACTGACTCGACGATGACATTGGTTGGCGGTCTTGCTGTATATCCCGAATTGGTAGAAGTTAGAATTGGTAAGCTAATGGATTATGTCCTAATGACTGAACGATCTACGAGCTTGCCTGGCAACCTGAAGGCTCTGGGTTGCGTCTCTGTTTGGGTCATCGGTAAGTGCTGCTGAAGAGTGCCAAACAAGGATGAAACAGCTCTCCAGTACTTCCAGGTACTCAATAGTTCTCTAATTGAAGTCAGTTTGTGATTGATATTGGATTGGATTGATATGATTATGAACAATAAATTTTGTTCGAAACCTTGTCATCCATTAAATAATACTGTTTCACTGTCTGATACATCTAATAAACAAACTAATATGTAATTGATCACACAATCTTTAGATATTTCAGTCTTACGTAGAGTTCAGTGAGTAGACTGTATGTTGGTGTTTGTGGGAGTAAGACGATTGGTCATAGGGGGATATTCAATTTGTACAACTTGCGTCTACTGTAAAAATTGGGATAAAACGGGTCCATTGAATTCCATTCACCAATGGTCTTCGTTTGTGATTAGGCCTGCTTTGATAGGAGATAAAATGTAAACATTTGTGGTTAAAGATAGCTATTTTCACTTTCACTGTACACGTCTCACATTCATAAAGGAAGACAGAGCCAACTGCTGCATACTACACACGTCCGTAAATGTATATGTGGATATCACGTCAACGTCAGAAATGATGTGGTTCGGCGAGCCTTTTCTATTCGTACAGAGATTTCGTCAGTAATCGGTCGATTAGAGTAACTTTGTAAATAAGGAGAGTGGTCAACACACTCTTCTACTTCACTCCCTATCTCTAAACTAGCAGTTGGTGTGGCTTCTTTGTTAGGTGACGTCATATGACGAACAGTATTAAGCTCTGGCATTGACTGCGGAAGCGGGGTCAATCGATGGTGATTCTAAGCTACATTGATTGAGATGACTAGCACATGTGTTTCTCATGCCTAACAATCGTGTTCCTCGACCAGCTGACATAGAATTAGGTTGAAATAGAGTGAGGGACGGTCAAAACAAACCTGGCATCAATCAATAAACTCATTTTTTCAGAACAAAGCTATTATTATTATTATTATTATTATTATTATTATTATTATTATTATTATTATTATTATTATTATTATTGATCATCAGGTAGACAATGTAAAAATTATCCTGAATTTAAACGCATTCTGGTAACCACGAATTAGAATTCACTAGGACATAAAATCTCCAGAAAGTGCCAACGCAGATACTGTAGGTAAATTCCCTATTGCATGACTTAAGAGCCTAGTGAAGTGACCTGATAATCGTTGATTCTAATATACATCTTGCTAATTGGTAACAGTTGTCTTCACTCAATACTCAAGATCAGATGGCCAGAAAAGATCAGCAACAGGGATCTCTGGGAGCGAACCAACCAGGAACCGATTGTGAAACAAATAGGCAGGAAGAAATGGAGATGGTTTGGCCATACGCTGAGGAAACCATCAAGTGACATCACTAGACAAGCCCTCGAGTGCAACCTGAAAGGGAAGCGGCGAGTTGGTCGTCAGTGCAAGGGTAACTTACAGGAGGTCATGTGAAGAGCAGGTGAAAGCATGTGGGCAGACTTGAAGCGAGGTGAAAAAGTTGGCAGAAAATCGAACGCAATGGAGACGCGCAACTGAAGCCCTATGTTCCTCTAGAAATTAAGGGATATAATAATAATAATAATTGGTTGCGAATAAGGAAGGCTATCATAATACACCCAAATAACTTCAATACGCGAAAATTTATAATAAAGGTTTCAAATACTGTTCCCCATTGAAAAGATACAGAGGATGGAATAAGATAGCAAGTGTAACTTTTCTAGGAAAAATGCGATGGTTTGGGAAATATATACTTATTTAGTGTGAGCTATTGGTTGCACACATAACGCACATAAAATGTGTGTTATATGTTTGGCTGGCGGTTCACTAATAAGAATTCGATGACACAACATTTGATTTAGGCTAAAGGCAAATATATTTCGTTTTCATAGAAATACTATATCTTCTCTCCGTTATGACAGAAAAGCAAATGATGATTTCATATAGAATGGAAGGCATCTGAACGCATTTGCATTGCTACATGACTCAAACAACAAACTGACAAATTTTAAAAGTGGTGTTGTCTTAGTGAATTTCCTTAATCTTTTATCATTTCAATTTTTAATCTAACAATCATTCTACGACTGAATAATCTCCACTGAGGGAATATTTTCCCATTCATAGCAACCAATGCACTTGATTTACTTTGTTGTCATCAATCAACTTACCTTCTGATTTTCTTATAAACGAATGTGTTCTGATGATCTGCACTGATATTACTACCCAAGTTTAAGAAATATTGGATTGCTTATTTAGCGAAACAGTTTTTGCGTTGATAGATTTCGTTACAAAACGGAATCGGTTAGTGGTAATTGAAAGCTAGGTGACAGTAAATAGTTGTTTCATCCTAATTTGGGACTCTTCAGCAATGTGCGATCACGATCCCACCAGTGGTCGAAGCTTGGACTTTCAGGTTGTGAGACCATTCTCACACTCCTTCCTTTTCAGTGAATTTCAACGGACATTGATTCGTGACGAAGTCTAACAGTTTAAATCAGTCCAAATCCCTCAAATCCTACATTCAAAAAATTCTTACTTTTATGGATTTTTTGGGTCTTAAGTCATTTCTCATTCAGGCAAATATTCTTTTTATTTATTTTTGATTACAGCTTGATTCCACAGCGTATTTTTGGTACAGGTATGGAATTTTCAGCGTGCATATCGGTAGCCCAAATTTCGCAGGCCGACCATAGATATCAGGTGTGCGTCGGTAGAGGATCGAACCCCGGACCATGTGCATGGTCGGCGAGAGTCCTAACCACTGTGCCACCGACGCATTCATGATTTTTGTAAGCGATTCTGGGTATTATTGCAGGCGAAATCATTCCATCAGAATCTATAACGCTTCTTTCTTTTGATTTTGAACGGTGTGAGTTTTAGACAAAGCGTCCTTTTGGAAAGCTTCATGTACACTTGCCTATTTTTGATATTTTTCTCAAGATTTAGATTTTTGTATAGCCTTGTGAATGTATAAAATTGCATTTTGTAGACCGAATTCGGAGATCAGAAGATTTTCCAGTCTTCAAATGAGGCAGATGCGAATGAATGGATCGCTGCTATACGTAGTGGTTTACCGCCACTGCGTAGAAATCCTATTTCTCCCAAGGGTGAAATTTGCCCCGGTCGTGGTATAACTTCAATTGGTTCAGAAAGTTGTACAAACTGTGATGCAGTTTTGGATTCCAGTTCAAAATCAACCTCTGATGTTCTTTCGTCGTTACCTTTGTCTTCTAATAAAACGGATGTGAATGAATTTTGTACTATACTAGATCATCGAAAAATTCCTGAAACATCAGCGTTGTTTAATTCAGCAAATTTCAAGCCGCTGTCCACAGATAGCTCCATAAATTGTACTCCTGTGTCAACAATTGTATGTGCTTGTAGCCATGTCAACAATGTGCCAGATGTTTGGTCAACAAATTACTCAGCATCCAAGTGTGATCGTACTGTTGTCGCTCACAGGTAAATAATATGTATTTTTCTACCGGGTTTGATTTGATTATAATAGACAGTAGTTGTTATCTTTAACCGTCAAACAAACACATACGAATACAAGTATTAGCTTTCAGTCAATTTCTGTGACCCAAACTTTCTAGACATACAGCAGGAATAACTCTACTCATAGTCCTATCTGTCGATATATATGTACGACCAGATGTTAATGGAAAGTTGTGATGCCTTAGAAGTGTGCAGTTTACAACCAGTTGGTATTGTAATGCTTGCCAAGACTGTTCATTTAAGTAAGCCGCCTAAACAATAATCGAAAGTCGATCGATATAGATGTGGTCTCCATAGGTATAATTAGTGAAGTAAAACACGTATCATTTTGTTGCTCATAACTGTTCTTTTCATCTGAACAGTTAAGCGTTATAGTACACAGGAGATTTTGATGAAGGTACGGTCGAGTGATGCAGTTGTTTAAATTACCGTACTCAGTGATAGTGACACCGGAAGTTGGATTCATGTGGAGTATACAATATACTTTCTCTACCGATAGATACATATGTTGGAATCTACGGAATTTAGTCCACAAAAGAGCTATATTTTCTAGATGTTTATGGGCTTAAGCCAATAGTCATTCAGTCTGCATTTAGGTACGCACTTTGTAAATATGAAGCGTAATTGTCACGTATTTTGCTGAGTAGCGCAAGCTGAATCTGTTGGATGTATTATTATTCCATAAGGTTCCACGGCGAATATATGCCTTCAAAAGCTCCTCTGCGTTTCATCCTGCCCTATGTAGTCCCTTTTGTTGATTCCAAAATTATTCATAAACTTTCACACCCACTTCACATGATTTTCATGTCGCTCTCGGACGACTAACTCATTTCCTATTCAGGTTCTACCGTAGGACCTGACATGCGACGTCACTCAGCAGTCTTAGCGTGTGTATGACTCATCTCTACATTTTTCGGCACAGTTACTCAGCAATAGGTTCTTGCTTGGCTCATTGCCTGAGTTCTTTGTTGCTAATTCTTTGTGGCCATTTGATTTGTTGATAAAATTCTGCAACGTTTTGGAAATGCTTTTGGTAATCAGCCATATTTCCCACCCATATAGAAGGACTGACGTCACATTCGTGTTGAAACCTGGAATCTTGTTCTTTATCCTGAGTGCAGATGATTTCCATACTGGTTTCAGTGTTTCTTCGTATACTTTGTAAATATTCATTCGATCTACTAGCAGCTTGCGGCTGATGAATAGATATATGAAGGAATTTACTTCTTTCATGTTTATTGCATTCACTGTGATTGGTGATGGTGGTTGTTGTTTGTGGTTGATTGGTTATCTTCATCACTTCCCTCTTCTGTATGTTTACCTGAGTCCCTGGTTTTGCTGCTTCTCCTGCCACTCTGTTGGTTTTCACCTACAAGTCTTCGAGTTTGTGTGACATTTAACATAAGTCATCACTTAGAGTCTTCTTATCGGTCCAACGTGTTCCTGTCTCTTCACTCCCCACAGGCTGAAGCATAATCCTGTTCACCACAGTTAAGAATATTCTCGGAGATATTAGGCAGCCAGCTTGTCTTACTCCTGTATTCACTTGAAATGTTTCTGTGGGTATTCCGTTATGGATTAACTGATACGTGGCATCTCTATATAGCTATCAAGTGAGGTTGGTAAAGATTTAAGCATTGCATGCTATAGTGTTGAAACAGTTCCCAAAATACTTTTTGGTCTGTCGAAGGCCCTCTCGAAGTCGATAAAGTTGAAGTGGAGGTTTGACTGCCATTCCATGCTTTGTTCTGCGATGATGATGCGTAGAGGTGCAATCTGATCAACACATGATTTCTCTTCCCTGAATCCAGTTTGTTCTGGTGAGGTGGAGTTCTGCATCCAATACATTTTTTATTCTCTCTTTGATCAACCAATATATTGAGATGTAGACAATGACAAATTCCGTAACTGAGATGCAGTTATTCTGCCTTCATTCTTGGGATAATATCTCTACATTAAGAACAACAGATATTCTGATATCTTTACGAATCTATGGGGAAATGTCGACAGCCTAATATGAACGAATTTCGCACAAATCCATGCTGATATTACACATGGGCGTATAATTCGAGATTCAATATGTCAGTGACCAGCGAATTCTGTCGCCAAATGCAGCGCAGCCAATTCTGACTACCTTCGTTTTCTTTTTCTGCAGTCATCAAGGGGTATTATACTGGTTTAAAGTAGAGTTTTCTAAACATGAAAAAGGTGACTCATGAAAGTTGTATATTTTTTGTTATCACCAGGGCAGTACAAGATTCACCACTGTCTCTTTCTGCATCCATAGATTTGGTTTAAGTCGTTTGATGGCAATTGCTTCAGCAAAGCGTAGTAAGCTAGGTTTCTTTTGCTTGCTGATTATTTTGAACGACTCCAGGTTGTCTACAATATGACCAGTGTCCAATAGATGACAAGCAATCGCACTGCTTAATGCTTGTGGACCTTTCAATATCAGGTTCTTTGGTATGTGTTCATAAATGTGGACACTAACCCTTCTCTCTTTTCTTCCAATGTATGTGATTTGGCACGTACATATCTCCAACAACTAGTTGTTTGATAAACACATACAAACTTGGCGGCTGGATATGTTTTTTTTCAGGGCATCATTCAGTCTGCATCTTATTCTACTAGCAGTATCATCACCTTTGAATGCAAGCTGCAGAAAGATAGGCTTCTATGCTTATCGATGAACTTTTGTGGGTAGCCGTTGTCACGTAGGCATTTCTCCACAATGGATAGATCTTCCTCAATCTTTTCTTTTGAACACAGTTTCCTCACACGATGAAATAATGTTCTCACTAATACCTTTTTGTAACTTGTAGGGCAGAAGCTTTTGAAGTTAATATAAACCGCCCTCCAGGTCTCTTTTCGGTATATATATATATTATGATCTCGTTGGATGCACAAGTGGGACTTCCCACGGCGTCTCCGTCAATTTGGCGGTATAGAGTGTTGTTGAACTGGAACTGTACGTCTTTGGTTCACATAAGTAAAAGTTGTTTGAGTTCGTTCTTGGGCAGAGGGAGAAGTTCGGCATCTTGACATATAATTTGTATTGTTTCCTCCAATGGGATCTTTGTAAACAGTGAAGACATGTCGAAAGACACCATAAATTTATTTGAGGTGTTTAGTTGTTTTAGCAGGCGACTTCAATGTCCAAGTAGGGAAGTTGTGCCAGACTGAGAAGTATGTAGGTGGTACGTATGGAGTTCCCTGCCGACGAACCGACAACAGTGATCGTCCTCTACAGCTTTGCTCAGAAAATCATTTGTTCCTAGTCAATACTAACTTAAGGCATAATGAGAGGCACTGCGTAACCTGGCGACCTCCGTCGCCAAATCAACGCTGGACTCAGATAGACCACATAGCCATAGGGTATCGTTGGCGAGGGTCAGTAGAAGACTGTGGCTCCTTCTGGAACACATGCGTAGACTCTGGTCATGTTATGGTTCGCGCACGTCGATGCTTACGACTAAACGGATATAAGAAATCGAAGGCAGCGAAACAGTTACGTCCACAAATGGATCGAGACACTGAGTCCCTATTTAAGGGGAAAACAGCGAAACGAGTGTCTGAGGTCGACAGCGGGACTTCCTCTGAGGTAGCCTGGCACAACATACAGTTAGCTGTAGACACAGCTGTAAAAGCTGTTAATAAGCTGAAACCGAAAGTTAATAAGAGCCATTGGATATGTACCACCTTATTCAAACTGATTGACGCAAGAAGACTGATTCCGGAAAGCTCCGAATTCAATGAGGAGCGAAAGCTACTCAAACGAAAACTAACAAGAAGCCTTCCCAACGACCGTGAACAGTGGTGGGTGACAAAGGAGAAAGAGATGGAAAAAGCATCGGCGATAGGCAACACTAGACAACTCTTTAGACTCATCAGGGAAACAGGTGGGAGAAGGCAAATCATAAGTGAGACTATTTCTGAGGAAAATGGCTCCTTAATTAGCTCTCAGGATAGACGACTGGAACGCTGGAAAGAACACTATGAGAAGCAGTTTAATTGGTCCACAGCCACGCTCAACCTGCCGAACATCCAACACCTCCCTGAATAGGATATAGACACAGGTCCTCCGTCCCTAACTGAGGTTACTAAAGCTGTCACTAATGTGAAGCAAGGCAAAGCAGCAGGACCTGATGGAACGACTCCAGAGGTATTTAAGTACGGTGGAGACAGTTTATTGTCTGCATTAACTGAGGTACTAGGCAGTGTCTGGGAATCAGAAGAAGTCCCATCGGGTTGGTGTAAGTCACTGATTATCCCCATATACAAGAAGGGAGACAAGTCTTCCTGTGATAATCACAGAGGGATTAGCTTGACTAATATAGTATCTAAAGTCCTAGGCTCAATAATCATGCGTAGACTAAGTGGTACTCGGGAGGCACAAAGACGAGAGAGCCAGGTAGGCTTCAGACCAGGAAGAGGGTGTATTGATCATATCTTCACCCTTCGAGTTGTCATCTGAAGTGGTGACGACTAGTGGTGTCCGACAGGGATGCCCACTATCCCCATTTCTATTCAATTTCAGTATAGATGTACTGATGGAATCGACCCTAACTGATTTCAGAGACTGCGGGATTGACCTGTTACCAGGGAATAATCTTGTTGACTTTTTTCCTTCACGTTCCCAGTGGAACTTTAGGGCCTCAAACTAGTGGCTTGAAGTTTCTGTAGCAGTGTTTAATTTTACACGGTGTGGTTGCTAACCTCATGCCCAACCTTTCCCCTCTACCAGCATTATTTTTGGCTTAGCGAGGTAAAGGTGTGCGTCGGCCGGGGATTGAACCTCGGACCATGCGCATGGTCGGCGAGAGTCCTGACCGCTCTACCACCGACTTAGAATATGCAAGTGGTATAGTCGTTCTAGGTGTGGACGCTGACAAAATAGAGGAGAGTCTTCTGAACACCTTGAAGGAGAGCAGTCATCGAATATTTGGCATGGGATTTGCTCCCGTCGAATGTAAGATGATGCTACAGAGCTGGACTACATTGACTTCTAGCTTAGAAATAGAGGGAGTGAAGTGGTTGGTGGAGCGTGTTGACCACTTCACTTATTTGTGAAGTTGCATCAGCCAGTGACGACGGGTTGATCTCTGACGAAATCTCAGCACGGATACAGAAGGCTAGTTTCGCATGTGCCATTTTACGCCGTCTGTGGCGTGGACGTGATATCCGGCTGTCGACCAAAGGGCATGTGTACTGCCCAGCATTTTGTTGTGTCCTTCTTTGTGACTGTGAGATATGGTCTTTGGAAGTGGAGGAAATGAAGAGACTGGCTGTCTTTGATCATAGGTGTCTGCGTTCTATCTTACATATTAAGTGGTATACTGAGGTGGGCAATATTGAGGCTAGGTTTCGAGTGTTTGGAAAGACACATCGGCTGAGTGGCTTCCCGAAGATGGGCTTTTATCATACCCCGTTATTTCGCCTCTGCGATTCCAGATAAGATTAATTTTGTTTCATGTTTTTTGTATCCAATATTTTTTTGGATATAAGTATAAATCTTTGGCACTGAGGTAGAGCATAACTCCATTATGGATAAGATTTCATTGTGACAAATTACCCAGTGAGCAATAGTTTGTGCTCAAAACGTCATCAGTTAATATTAGTGTACTACACTAGAAGGATTTTTCTGGGACTTTGAAGTTTCTGTAGCAGTTTGATTGATTTTCTGGGGTACAGTAGCTAACCTATGCTCAACCTTAGCTCTTTCTCCTGGCTTAATACTGGCTAGTAAACTAGTGAATTGTTAAGCTTAATTCACTAGAATAGCGCTGATTAAAGTGAAGTTGTAGAATAAGAAAGCATTTGAATAAATAAGTGAGCATATTATCAGGTGATTTTCTAGGCCTAGCTTTATTATCTGAGCGCTCACCTAAACAACAACCTAAGTTAAATATTACTGATTTTTTTGGATGAGTAGTTGCATACTCATATCAGCCAGTAGTGCTTGCTAGTCAAATGGAGGTGATCTAAACCATTGGATGGCCGTTTCGCAAGTTAAGCATCGAGCTTATCAATGGTATACTCGGTTTGGTTCAGCTCAGACAGCCGAATGAATTCAAACCACTCGATTTTTGGCTAGCTACTTAGGCGAACTGGTAATACCTTGAATCAAAGCCTGTTGTGCTAAAGATTTCATGATAACCATTTATTGTATCAAGCAGACCAATTATTGTGATTTGAATAACTTGCTTTGCAAAAGAAACTACAGCAAAATGTCACCACTTGAACTATGTAAATTACAAATTGTGAATTCAATTTAACAGTATAGGTTCTCTCACGTAACACTTACTTAAGGTATTTTATCAATCTACTATCCATAATTGCATATATATATATATATATATTCTTTTCCTCTTGTTTCTTTCAACAGTGTTAATCTCAGTCAGTCAGAAGAGTGTACTACTACATCAAATAATACAATATCTCATGGATTTGTCAAGCCTAATGCTAATAGTGAGTATGTTTATGTGCTTCCTTCCTCTCCTCTGTCAGCCTTTACTTTAAGACCTAATGTTTTAAATGTTTACCGATCACTCGTGCCTTTAGGCACTTATTATTTTATGTAGTAGCCAGTGAGCACTGCGCGCCTGTTCCCTCCTAGTTTGTGGCTCTGAGAACGTACACATCCAAGGACCCACTGGGAATCCCATGTGTAACATTCCGGTTACGAGGTCAAGCTCGTTGGTCATTGGAATATAACTCGATTCTTCTTCATGGTCGTCCTATGATATATGTTGAGTGTTTATTTCGCAGTTTTTAATTTGTGGGGAAATTGTATTTACTGATGTTTTATAGTATTTCGTCCTGATAAATGCTGTCGTCTTGACACTCGGTTTATAACTTCAGTGCTGAATGTTCTTAAATGCACTCGTCTGTAGTCGGTTAACACCATCCATGTAAGAAAGAGGAAGTATAGTTGGAACTCCATATTATTTATCCGCGTTCCTTTAAAAAGGTCCTTGTGAGAATATATGTATTCAGGGAACTGGTATGCTTATTAACATCTAAGCTCCAAACAAACACTTCGGATGGAGAGGCAAAAGAAAATTACTCATCACCACCACTCTCAATCACCAACAGAATTAGTCGGCCATGCCCGATTTCGCCACTTTCCACTAACCTTATTAATGGCGACGTCATGGGAACACATGTAGAGGATTTGTGATTGTCGTAGAGATATGCTACGTAGAGAGAAACTATTTGACCCTGAACATGTAGACGAGTTCGTCCTACTGTGCGATAGAATTCAGACTGCCCAAACCACACGTTGTCGATTGATGTCTATGAACACACTGGCCTAAGCGCACAGTAGTATTGCAAGATTGTCAGGGAACTGCGAACTCTCTCACCTATCACCCGGAGCAATCCGATCGGTGGTTAGGACTCTCGCCGACCATGCACATGGTCCGAGGTTCGATCCCCTGCCGACGCACATCTGATATCAATGGTCGGCCTTCAAAATTTGGGCTACCGATATCCATGCTGAAAATTCCATACTTGTACCAAAAATACGCTGTGGAATCAAGCTGTAAGTCAAAAATAAAACAAATAAATAAGTCCACATGTCTTCACCCGACCGATAGCTGCTACCTTGACGCGGAGGTCGCGATGACCCAACAATCTACACTGGCTGGAACCAATGTTCCCGCAAATCCTACCATGCCAGGAAGGTTGTTAGGATAGCGATTAGACTAAACCCGACCGAAAGCTGCTACCTTGACGTGGTGGTCGGGCTTGAACACCGCAATGACCTAATCAAGCTATACTGGCTGAGACTTATGTCACCTGAGGTCCTACCATGCCAGAAAGGTTGTTTGGATAGCGGTTAAAACAAAAAGCAGCTACCCAATCCAACATTATGATACATACAAAACCACAAAATATCATGTCGGATCGGCCGTAGCCCGGATTAACAACGACCGCGCTTCCTGCTGCCGTGTCACAGGACAGAAGTGATAAATATGCTACTGAGACACACCAAACAATAAAGAACAAACAAAAACAGGCCGCGTGTTACCGGCCTCAAGCAGTTGTCCCCTGAGCTCTACAGTCACGCAACCAACTTCCACGGTGTGGGCAGCCGGGAAGTAACAATCGCCCTCACAATCCGAAATGCACACGAAACCCCTCTAATCCACACTCATCTTTGTCTTCATATTCATCTCTATCATCTTGCCTTCCTTCCACTGATGCAACTACTCTACTTGATAACTCTTCACTTCCTCTTCACTCTGTGTCCACTAAAAACGACGGAAGCCAAAAAGCCACCACCGATAGTCTCCTAAAGCCACGCCGCCTACTTCATATGGGAGCATTTAATGTTAGGACACTTTACCAAATAGGACAACAAGCATCACTATCCAAGACTCTGGCGTCTCGAGCCATTGATGCATGTTGTGTTTCAGAAACATACATACAAGACCCAAGTGTGGTTATTCACCTAACCCCACCTGGCCAACAGGATGAATCAGCAAAATTCACTTTGAGGGTGTCAGGAGATGCCACAGCTAGCTCACGAGGATTAGCTGGTGTAGGGATAGCTTTGAGTACTAGGGCAGAAAAGATATTACTTGACTGGATCCCGGTAGATAGCCGAATGTGTGCTGTCCGTCTGAAGGGATCAGTAAAAAGGAGAAAGGACTGCACTACTCGCCGATGCTTTTTCGTAATCTCCGCCTACGCCCCAACTGACTGCAGTTCGGATGAAACGAAGGATGAGTTCTACCAGAAACTGTCTAGTTTGCTGCGAAAGGCTAAACGCTCAGATATAGTCGTTCTAGCTGGTGACTTTAATGATCAAGTAGGGAAATTGTGTCAATCTGAGAAGGATATCGGTGGCACCTATGGAGTTCCGTGCCAGCGAACCGACAACGGTGACCATCTCCTACAGTTCTGTTCAGATAATCATTTGTTTCTCGTAAGCACTAACTTCAAACACAAGGAGAGACACTGTTTGACCTGGCGACCCCCATCATCAAACCAACGCTGGACACAAATAGACCACATAATAACAAGCTATCGTTGGCGTGGGTCGGTAGGAGATTGTCGCTCCTTCTGGAAAACGTGTGTAGATACCGATCACGCATTCGTCCGCGCTCGTGTGTGCCTACGACTAAACGGACGTAGGAAACAGCTGGCGGTAAAACCATCACGTCCCCAGCTCGATCAGGAAACTAAATCCCTATTTGAGGAAGAACTAGCTAAACACATATCTGAGTTTGACAGCTGTGCTCACTCTGAAGAAGCCTGGAAGAATATCCAGTCAGTCATAGATACAGCTGTAAAAGCTGTGAATAAGGTGAATCCAAAGGTGAGTAAAAACCACTGGATTTCGACTGCCTCATCCGAACTGATAGATGCTAGAAGACCTATTCCGGCAAGCTCCGAATTCAATGAGGAGCGAAAGCTACACAAAAGGAAACTTACGAAAAGTCTCCGCAAGGACCGTGAACAGTGGTGGGTGACAAAGGCAAAAGAGATGGAAAAAGCATCGGCGATAGGCAACACTAGACAACTCTTTAGACTCATCAGGGAAACGGGTGGGAGAAGGCAAATCATAAGTGAGACTATTTCTGAGAAAAATGGCTCCTTAATTAGCTCTCAGGATAGACGCCTTGACCGCTGGAAAGAACACTTTGAGGAACAATTTAACTTGCCTACAGCCACACTGAACCTCCCCGCCATCCAGCACACACCCGAATGGGATATAGATACTGGTCCGCCGTCTGTAAGTGAGGCCACAAAAGCTATCTGTAATTTGAAACGAGGCAAAGCGGCAGGGCCCGACGGAATTATTTCGGAGGTGCTTAAATATGGGGGTGACATACTAGTTTGTAGATTAACTAAGGTACTAGGCAACGTCTGGGAATCAGAGACGGTTCCAACAGACTGGGGTAAGTCACTTATTATACCGATATTCAAGAATGGAAACAAGTCCTCATGTGATAATCATAGGGGGATCAGCCTAACGAACATAGTTTCTAAAATTCTAGGCTCAGTAATCATGCATGGACTAAGCAGAACTCGAGAGGAACAAACGAGGAAAAACTAAGCAGGCTTTAGATCAGGTAGAGGGTGCATAGATCATATCTTCACTCTCCGACAGATCCTAGAACATAGACACACTTTTCGGCGTCCAACAATTGCCATATTTCTTGACTTGAAGGCGGCCTTCGACTTCGTGGATCGAAAGGTACTATGGCAATGTTTGACTGTGAAGGGAGTGCCGAGAAAGTACATTCCACTAATCAAGGCACTCTATTCAAACTCACGTGGTCGTGTAAGGGCTTACGGCGAGTTGTCATCTGAAGTGATGACGACTAATGGTGCCCGTCAAGGATGCCCACTATTCCCATTTCTATTCAATTTCACTATAGATGTACGGATGGAATTGACCCTAACTGACTTCAGACACACAGGGGTCGATGTGTTACCATTGAATAATCTCGCTGACTTAGAAACAGGCAGACGATATAGTCCTTCTAGACGAAGACGCTGACAAAATGCAGAGTCTTCTGAACGCCTTGAAGGAGAGCAATCTACGAATGTTTGACATGCGATTCGCTCCCGCCAAATGCAAGATGATGTTACAAGACTGGACTGCAGCGACTCCTAGATTAAAACTAGGGAGTGAAGTGGTAGAGCACGTTGACCGCTTCACTTATTTGGGAAGTACCATCAGCCAGTAACGACGGGTTGATCTCTGACGAAATCTCAGCACGGATACAGAAGGCTAGTTTCGCATGTGCCATTTTCCGCTGTCTCTGGCGTAGACGTGATATCCGACTATCGACGAAAGGGCGAGTGTACTGCTCAGAACTCCGCTCCGTCCACCTTTATAGCTGCGAGACGTGGCCATTGAGAGGGGAAGACATGAAAAGGCTGGCTGTCTTTGATCGTAGGTGCCTGCGTTCTATCTCCCGTGTGCAGTGGTATAATAAGGTGAGCAAGTTTGAGGTAAGGCATTGAGTGCTAGATAAGGAGGTGAAATCAATCGACGAGGTTGTGAAATTACATCGACTGAGATGGTTAAGACATGTGCTACATATGCCTAGCTTTCGATCGCCTTCCTCGACGAGCAGTGTTAGGAGACATATGTCAGGCTGGAAAAGAGCTAGTGGCGGTCAAACCAAAACATGGCTGCACCAGTCAATGAAATCCACGACAGTTAGTCTAAGCCACGTAGGGAGGTGTAGACGTCCTGGTTGTGGTCCCGGGATGGTAAAAGCAGATGATTGGAAACAATTGGTGATATGGCTCAAAATCGTTCTCAGTGGCTGGGTCAGATGCATCCACTCCTTGTGACTTGTGATTTCCAATGAAACTATATTGTTCTTCGTTATTAATATTCCCTAGTCTCACACCTCTGTTTACTGTCTCTATGTGGCATTTCTTCTCTTGCCTTGTGTGCTACATGGAGTGTGACGACTTGAACTTCCGCACATCGGTGCAAAGTTCTATGTCGAAAACAGACAGACCGTGTGTCTTCATAGCTGTGTGTCCATCGGTAATGTGACGAATCAAAATGTCCAGCTGTATAGAAAAGGCAAGAACTGCATACACCAGTCTGGGTCACTCGTGAAACCATCACAAATTTAGCTTGACCTGGCTGGTTCCTAACGCTTCGATATGGGTGCGCTTTTGCTGGCCCCATCTGCTGTAACTGTGTGCTCAGCCATCGCTGTCCTGGGTGGACCGATTGAACGTTTGGAAGCAGAAATTCATACATTTTAGTCACACTGTAGAAAAATGAGTACTCACTTTTAACCAACCTCTACTAGTATCATACAACCAGAAGAAGACTTTTAGGCAGGATTCATAATTAAAGTTAGTAGGGATCATGGCGTGACTGTCTGCTGTACACCTTACGAACGGCAGTACAAACGAGACCAAAGGAAATACTGATTACTGTGTTTTTTTGTTCAGCGAAGGAATTTCTTTTCAACGACTCCATCTTCAAGCTGTACAGTCGTATTTATATTACAGAAAAAGGTTATTAAGTGGCACTAAATAATTGCTCAGTCAACATACATATATATGTGATAAGAATAACGATAATTAAGATGTTAAGAGGGGTAGAGTTGAAGTGGATATATTACAAAATGTTTTAAAAATGTCAAGTGTTGTCTAAAAATTTTAAAAATTAGGAGTCGGGTTACGATAAGAATGAAGATGTGAAGTGAAATGGTAAAATAAAGTAAAACTAGAAAGAACGTTACTATGACCAAGGTAAAGAAAGGGGTTTGACAAAACGCTTTTGAACACATAATTTAGGTTTCTGTTCATGTGTAGTTAAAACTTCGGCTGTGCATGAGTGAAAACAAACGTAAACTTTTGGATCGATTCGATTTTGCTATGTAGATAACTTTGAAGGATGAATCACGTGGGGCTAAATGACCAGGCTCTAACAGGTGATCACAAATAGACGACTTTGCAGTTCTACGTTCGCCTTTCATTAACCAAACGGATAGTGTTCAGCTACACGTTTTGGAGAGTACGCTTACAACGTCCAATATGATCAGCTCCACAGGGGCAGTTAAAAGAGTAATTGCACATAGATGTGGACAAAAGCGGTAATCTATCCTTGACGCATTGTCTAATCATATTTTGGCTGGTAAAAACTAGTTGTAACTATGTTATCGATTCTCCAGTCACGTTGTATTTCCCTGTTGGAAAGTAAACAAGATCTGTAGTCTCAGTTCAATATCCTTTTCAGCAGATTTTATTATGAGTTCTTTGGAATGTATTCGCCAGTCGTACTCTTCGTGTACTTTCTCCTTCAAATTTATGCCAAAGACCTATTGAGTTTTTTATTTTCCTTAACCATTCTTTGGTTGCGTTAATTAGTTTCTGCAACATTTTCTTACATGCACCATGTTAGTTTAATGTACAGTAGGAAATGTACCAAAAAATTATGTGATCAGAAAAATCCAACTACTGTATTACTATTTATTTTTCTTAGTGGTCATTTGCCCTACTCCTTCACGACCTGCCACTTTTGTTCCTGGATTCCGACATGCATCACCAGCTTCTCATTCAACACCATTACACCCTGCCGTTAGACCAGATAAAAATAACAGGCTTTGTAGCCTCACAAATAGTATTTTTATTGAACAAACTAACTCATCAAAAGTCGACACTTTACGAAGTGGGGCATTCTCCGTCCTCAATGCTTCAAGCAACATGGCACGCGTCTCTTCATTGGCTGCCGGTTTTGAAGATGTAATTGGTCAACAACTGTCTGTGTACCCGTGGTATCATGGCACACTTTCACGTGTTCGAGCTGCTAGCTATGTGCTAGGTCAACTATCCGAATTCGAACACGGAACTACACGACGACAATTAAGTTCTCCTGAATGTAATCGAATTAATTCCAATTCAGAGAAAAATAATACTGATTTACCTTCTGTACAGCCTGCTTTATCAACAACTGATGGTGTATTCCTTGTTCGTCAAAGTGAAACAAAACAAGGTGAATTTGTCCTAACGTTCAGTTGTCATGGTAAACCCAAGGTAAGTAGCGTAACGTCAGTTACCATGTCATGATTTTGAAAACTCTGTAAGAATTATAGTACACTTTGAATAACAAAGGAGTTGAGTGACCGATCTGCTTATCTTAATGATGTCAATTCATGAAGAGCACCTAGCATCAGCCCATGTTAACTTATGATACGGCAGACAAGTGATACCATATGAAGAGTGCACTACACAACAAAAATGGACCAGTGTACAAGATGGTTAATTTCTACATCATTGATATCCTCTGTGAACAAATCCTCATGCTTGTTGTTTGTCGACGAATTAACCATGTTGTGCTCAATTCTAAGCATAGCAGCTGTCGATTGTTTTGATCACAACTGCACAGTATATTTTACGCATGTGAATATTGTTAAAAACACGGTAAATAATACTAACTGCATTTTGGTTATATCAAACGGTAACTAAAAAACCAGAAATACGTACAGGTTCAGTTTAATAATTGTCAAATATTTTCGGGTAGTATTTCTGGACTCCATGCGGTAAGTGGCTGAATACCCTCCAAAATTGCATCATCTTCACTAACCCCCAAGTGAATGATTTTATTTGCAACACACAGAGACAAGTCGCGAAGGTATTCTTATACGTTTGCTGAACATAATTTTAAAACAGAAAAAAGTGCACACAACGAACCATTTTACGAATCAAATATCTTTTATCCCTATTCAGGGTTCAGTTCTTCATACAGTAGGAAGAACCAAATAATCATAAAGATTTTTGGTAATTCACATTTTGCAGAGCAAGCTTAAGAGATTACCCATTTCCGTACAAAGGGTACCTATGTTGAAGTAAATGTCGTTTCCTTGCAATGAGTCTTAATTTCTCTTATAATAACAGACTAGCCTGAATCTTCAGTTTAGGTTATCTGTCTATCAACTTATCTGTCACTCGTTGCAAAATCTTCCCTACCGCATTTCTTAAGTAACGAATGCGGTTTTGCAGTAGTCCCCCATACTAATGTTCAACGTCTTGTATTCGCTTTTTACTAGTGCACTAGTTCAACGACAGTTTCTGTGTTGACAAACGTAACCAGTTTTATCTTATTAAGAATAAGCCACTCCTGGAAAAAATTCATCATGTGCTAACGCTAATTACAAATATACCCATAGTAAATTGATTTATCTCACAATACGTAAATGACTTACTCATACAATATTGTCGTCCATTTTGCGAATTATTTCGACAGCATCTCAGGATGACTTTGAGTCCAGATGGTCACTGCAGAGTTCAACACTTACCATTCGATTCCATAGTCGAAATGCTGGAGCATTTTCGACAGGAGCCTATTCCTTTGGAACAGACATCTACGTCAAATTTAGGCGATTGTCTACCTTCGGATGCCTTAACTCCATCTACAACCATTTCTCCTACGCCAATCACATTGTCAGCTTATGTAGTGAACACTCATTTGACAGGAAATCATGAACGACTAGTGATTTGTCGAGGTTCAGTTCGTGCAAACGTGAACACAGTTGGTCGGGCTGCTGCGGCCGCTGCCGCGACAGCCTCCGGTGGTAAAGCATCACAGAATCAATATATCGTTATGTAAAAAGAAAATGAACTAAAATTCATGCGCATTTATCTAAATTTTGGGGATAGAAATCTTCCTTTTTGAGATTATTATTATTTCTTTGTGTATAGTTCTTAACCTCAAGAAACTATTGAATGCCTCACTTGCCTTGGCGAAGCATTGTTGTACTGCATACAATACCCCTAGGTCTATGACCCACCCATTGAAAAAAGGAATACATTCATGACTGATTTGTTTCCTCAAACCATATGTTGAGATAATTTGTGTGCCTTGTAAATTATATGCATATATCTTGATCGCAGTTCATAAACTGTTCTATACATAGGTCCACAGTCGGCTTCCATACATTTTAATAATGGTAAGTAACAATAATAAAAATAGGGCATTTTTCCATTTGTTTTTTCTTTGCATTTAAATGCTTTCATGTCTAATATGGCATAAATGCTTATATTTTGACTTCATAAAAACTCTTTCGATTTCAGATTGCATTTATAGTATTATAATATCTATCTATTCGTCTGTCTTATTTTCAATGTATTCTGATCCCTGTGTGCTTTTTTTCACTTGATTATATATTTAATAACTTGATTTGAAGTCCATCTTTTATTTTGTTCTGTTTTGTTTTTAACACGCACACATTTATCAACAGCTGTCATATAAAAGTGCAATACATAATAATTTTCCTTGTTTATTATTTATTACTGTTGTTTTGCTTTTTATCTTCTTATTTCCATGGAATTGAATTGCATTTCAGATATTGCTTAACAAAAATCTTGAAGTCAAAATCGATCCATCAAATAATAAAACTACCTGTTTTAATAATGAAATGAAGTTCCTCTTTTGTTAAAAGTGAAAGAGTTTTCCACGAACACCTTGGTGCAAAGTAGTCTTAATGATGGCAGTAAGAATTGAGAAGAAAATACAGGTGCAAATCAGTGGCTGCCGTCTTTCTAGCTTTGCTCTGCAGATTAGGTATGAAATAAGTTCTCAGTGATAAAAGATAGTCATGGTGAGTTTAAATAAGTATATTGAGATGGCAAACTGCTTCATTTAGTTAAAGCGGTTAAGATTCATGGATCCCGACCAGGTGGCCCGAGTTCGACGCGTGGGGAAGAGATGCTCTTATACATTGGAGGTTAAGTTTTAGAATGCTTACCAGTCAGGCGAGAAATGCAACTCATTCCCAAACCTTACTAGACGGTAATAGGCCTTGAAAAAGAAGGAGAGTGGGCGTCAGGCTCGCAACTGGAACCCGCACAGACAAAGCTCCACTGTTAAAACGCAAAATCTTACCGCTCGATGTTCTACTTCTGGGATGAAAAAATTGTAACAAGGTAGGCTTTATAAAGATAAACACAACAATGTGAAACGCGTTTGAACATTTCTACTCAGAATTAGCAATACTGAAATTTCTAGTCTTCTTGTATTTTAGATATATGTTCATTAGCTAACCGTGTTTGCCTTGTTCAGTTTCATCCGTCAGCTCTTTCAATTCATCCACTATACAAAGCAATGATTATTAAATCTGCAGTTAGGGGATTCTTTAAAATGATTTCTGGAAGATTGCTGATGGGCTTTTACATGACTGAGTACAATTAATAAGTGCGTATCACTATACCACTTTTAACCTTAAGATAACAACCACTCATTTTTCACTGCATTCAGTAATAAATTGTCCCCCTAAATGAGTACTCGTCTCTATCAGTAAAAAGTTTGAGCATTGTGGATTAGATCAAATAAAGTATAATTATATTTTAATAGTTTACACACAATGATAAGTTTTATTATTGGTAATATTTCGAGCAAAATTACTGCCCGTGTTCACACGGGCTCCTTTTATTGCATTACTTTACACCTCAGGATAAGAATAAGCCCAAACACCATGATATGTGGGCAACTGCTTTCATACAATATGATTTTTTGATTAACGTAGATGTGTCTCATCCCTCTGAATATTCATGAATAGTTTACATGTTCCCCCAACGTCATTTGACTTAATATACTCAGATATGAACAAGCAGTCATTCTGTTTTTATTTTACAATATCATGAGTGACCTTAAAACCCGAATAAAGGTGGTGGATTTCGAATCCTTTAATGTTTTAAACTGCGCAGACTAAGTGATTCTCAGGAGGAACAAACACGAGAGAACCAGGGAGAGGGTGTATTGATCATATCTTCACCCTTCGACGGATTCTGGAACACAGGCGTTCCTACCGGCGCCCCACAATCCTTATATCTCTTGATCTAAAGGCGGAATTCGATCCTGTCGACCGAGAGGTGCTTGGCAATGTTTGGCTGTGAAGGGAATGCCGAGAAAGTAGATTGCACTGATCAAGGCAGTCTGCTCGAACTCATACAGCCAGGTGAGGGCTTACGGTGACATCTGAAGTGGTGACAACTAGTGGAGTCCGACAGGGATTTTTTTATTTGATTACAGCTTGATTCCACACCGTATTTTTTGGTACAGGTATGGAATTTTCAGCAAGTGATATCGGTAGCCCAAATTTCGCAGGCCGACCATTGATATCAAATGTGCGTCGGCAGCGGATCGAAGCCCGGACTATGTGCATGGTCGGTGAGAGTCCTAACCACTGTGCCCACTATTCCCATTTCTATTCAATTTCACTATAGATGTACGGATGGAATTGACCCTAACTGACTTCAGACACTCAGGGATCGATGTGTTACCATTGAATAATCTCGCTGACTTAGAAACAGGCAGACGATATAGTCCTTCTAGACGAAGACGCTGACAAAATGCAGAGTCTTCTGAACACCTTGAAGGAGAGCAATCTACGAATGTTTGGCATGGGATTTGCTCCCGTCGAATGTAAGATGATGCTACAGAGCTGGACTACATTGACTTCTAGCTTAGAAATAGAGGGAGTGAAGTGGTTGGTGGAGCGTGTTGACCACTTCACTTATTTGTGAAGTTGCATCAGCCAGTGACGACTGCTAATATGTATCCACATACGTCTTTCGTTTCTGACAGTCTATTATATTTTGCTATGTGTAAACGGATCGATATTTCATTATAACTGACAATATGCTTTTGTCTGTCCACTAACTAAATAAGCAATGTATGACCTTGTTATCACATGACATTACATCCAATCATGGTAAGACGTTATCTTATTGGCTGTCTGCTGTCTCTCTGTCTGGATTCAACATAGAACTTGGCACCGAAGTGCAGCAGTTCGAGTTGCCACCTTCCAAATAGCACACAGAGGTAGACAAGAAGATGAGTGGAGAGAATTAATAGAGTTTGACAAATAAAGGAGTGAAACAGAATGGGTAATGGTAGAAAGGAATATGAAAGATTACAGAGATTGAATACATCTGCGCCATTGACAACGATTTTGAGCCATGTCACCTATTGTCTCCAGCCATTGATTCCTAGAGTCCCGAGGGCCCCAACCCGGGAGTCTGCATCTCCCTACCTGACTCAGTTTAACTGTCAAGGATTTCATGGATTGATGCCATGTTTTTGTTTGGCCACCACTGGCTCTTTTCCAACCTGAACCTATATCAGCTAACAATGCCCGTCGGGGGAGGCGGTGGTTAGGCATGCGCACCACGTGACCTAGCCATCTTAGTCTATGTAACTTTATGACCTCGTCGATTGATTTTCCCTCTTTGCCCAACACTCTACGCCTAACGTCAACATTACTTATCTTGTGAAACCACCTAACGTGAGACAGAGATCGCAGACATCTATGATCGAAAGCAGTCAACCTTTTCATGTCTTCAACGCGTATTGGCCATGTTTCAGAGCCATAGAGAAGGACGGAGCGAACTGCTGAGCAGTACACACGTCCCTTGGTTGATAACCGGATGTCACGCCTACGCCAGAGATGGTGTAAGTCAGCGAAAGCAGCTCGAGCTTTTCGGATCCGTGCTGAGATTTCATCGCCAATCAGTCCGTTGGTGCTAATACAACTTCCCAAGTAGGTGAAGTGGTCAACATGTTCTATCACTTCACTCCCTATCACTAAGTTAGGGGTTGACGTCGTCCAGTCCTGTAGCAGCATCTTACATTTTGCAGGGGCGAATCGCATGCCAAACATACGAAGATTGCTGCTCAAGGTGTTCAGAAGACTCTGCATTTTGTCAGCATCCTCCCCTAACAGGACTATGTCATCTGCATATTCTAAGTCCATTAGATTATTCCCTGGTAACAAGTCGATTCCTAAGTCACTACGTTCAGTTAAGGATACTTCCATTAGCATATCTATGATGAAGTTAAACAGAAATGGGGAAAGTGGACATCCCTGTCGGACACCACTGGTTGTTACCAATTCAGATGACAATTCCCCATAAGCCCTTACACGACTATGTGAGTTTGAATAGAGTGCCTTGATTAGTGCGATGTACTTTCTTGGCACTCCCTTCACAGTCAGACATTGCCATAGTACTTTTCGGTCCACGGAGTCGAAGGCCGCCTTCAAGTCAAGAAATATGACAATTGTTGGACGCCGAAAAGTGTGTCTATGTTCTAGAATCTGTCGAAGAGTGAAGATATGATCTATGCACCCTCTACCTGGTCTAAAGCCTGCTTGATTTTCCCTTGTCTGTTCCTCCCGAGTTCTGCTTAGTCTATGCATGATTACTGAGCCTAGGATTTTAGAGACTATGTTCGTTAGGCTGATCCCCCTATGATTATCACACGAGGACTTGTTTCCCTTCTTGAATATCGGTATAATGAGTGACTTACCCCAGTCTGATGGTACTGTCTCTGATTCCCAGACTTTGCCTAGTAACTCAGTTAATCTACAAACTAGTATGTCACCCCCATATTTAAACACCTCCGGAATAATTCCGTCGGGTCCTGCCGCTTTGCCTCGTTTCAAATTACTGATAGCTTTTGTAACCTCACCTACAGACGGCGGACCAGTGTCTATATCCCATTCGGGTACGTGGTGGATGGCGGGGAGGTTCAGTGTGGCTGTAGGCAAGTTAAATTGTTCCTCAAAGTGTTCTTTCCAGCGTTCAAGGCGTCTATCCTGAGAGCTAATT